CGTGGGGAGATAAAGAATGGATACACCACCAGCTACACAGCTTTACACCAGTTAATTGCATCACAGAAATTCCGATTCCTCTTCCTTTTATCTTTTGTACTGCCCTTAAGCATGTGTAAACATTGGAAAGAAAAAAATCTTTACAGAATACGTAAGAAATGGCATTCTCTAATGTCCCATTTAATCTCCTTCATTCAGCTATAAACAAATGTCTGATTTTTAAGGGTTTTTCCCTCAAGTTTTACAATATGCAGTAATAAATATGTAATTAAAATCTTTCATTCTAATTATGAGCTTATCATCTTCAATGTATCAGTGTCTCCATTATTTCTCAGTGACTGTAATTCCCAAGTTGAGCATGTTGCACACAATATACACTTTCAGTCTGATAATGCATGAAGCATCAGCTATTTCAGCCCTTTTCAAAAAAGCAGGATATTTATCTTTGTTATTAATTTAAATGCTTTAAGCAAATGAAACTGAGTAGCTTCATATCTACACACAGCTTCAGACACGAAAAACATTTAATATAAGGTATCTGTAAGTATGAAGAGCATTGAAAGTAGTGAAGAAAACAGAAATTGATAAAGTTACCTAAAACAGGGTTAAATATGAATTATTTTAATAAAATACTCTAATGGATACATGCCGTAGACTAATCCTAGAGGATGCCCTAGGTCACATCAGAACTACAAGAACTAAAGCATTTTCCAGTGGAGCTTGCAAGAGTACACAAAATCATATAAAAAAAAGAATTCCAGACACAGGATTTTTAAATTTTCATGGTTCTAACTTCTATTGAAATGCTTTCTTTTAAGGAAACAATACAATTGAGTTGGTCTGTACTCAGTACAACTACAGTTTACAGTAAACTCAGTATAATCTTTGGTCAAAGAAAGCATATACTGTTCTTACTTAAAAGCAAAGTTTTCAAATACAGATTTTAAATGCTTGATATTCTAAGTCTGTAAGTTCTTCCTACACTCACTGACACATGACCATAAGTGCTATATTTTTTGTTCTGGCATTTCAAATCCCCTTGCTCTTCAAGGAACAAAGTCATTGCCTGCCAGCTAAAAAGCAACCAGGATATTTTGAAAAGGGAGAAGTGAAATTAGGCTGTTGGAAGAGTAGATGTATTACAGTAAACAAGTTATGTTTGCTGAGATATTCTGAGATAACGCTTCTTTCTGTCTTTACATTGGACCATTTCTTCAGACAAATCATATGTACTATGTATGGCAGTTCGGTTTGGTTTTACTGTACGAAATTAACTGCAGAGAAAAGTTAAGTATTTCTCCAGTATTCTCAGACCTAAAGATCTGGTTTTATTTTTTCTTATGTTCTCAATGAAACATTTTTTTTCAAAGCTTTACTGTGAATAAATAATTTGTAAAGGCAATTCTTTTCAAAATAAGTTTTTATAAAGCTGATCCAAAGGGAATATACAAGATGTTATTAGGTACCACTGCAGAAAAGCGTCTTTGAAAATGCGGCACACTTCATTAATCTTAACATGCAGTGTTTTCATAAAGTCCTTTGGCATGTTTTGAGGGTGTATTTACTCTTTCAGAAAACTGAATTTTTTCTAACCTTTACAATGGGTTCTTTGGACAAAAATTTATTTAGGAAAATATTGAAATAGAAGCATTTTAATCTATATTGACTTTCCAAGATGGGAACATAATAATTCTTCATTCTGAAATAATTTTTCCATTCAAAGCTTTTCATAAAGCAATACCAAAAAAAAAAAAAAAAAAATCAAACTTCAATTGTGAAGGAAATCCAAATTGTAGAGAAACAGAATTTTCATTGCACAAAAATAGAGTCATTGCAAAAAGCACTTTGAATTGAGAAGAAAAAGTTTTTGTATTGAAATTAAGACAAATTCTACAAGGATTGATTCTCTAACAAAACAGGAATAATGGTTTCTGAGTACCTACATTCAATATAAATAGCAAAAATATAACTCACTAAGGCAAATTTTTTGTTGAGGATCATCTGCTCCACCAGTGACGACTCGTTGTGGAAGAGGTGTGGCTGCCTGTGACTCCACATATGGGGAAACCACCAAAACTCATCTACCAACCTCAACAACAGGTCATCGCCTTCATCTTCCTCCTCAGTGCCTGAAAAAGAAATAACATCTCTGAAGTCAAGTCTCTACTTTTATTATAGTCTTACAAATGTCTGAAAACATAAGAAAGAAATTAGCATAATAAAATGTGCCAATTAAGGTGCCGAGGATTTTAAACGTTTCCACGTACATATTCCTTTTCCTGCAGTAATTAGAGCCAAGTAAAAGACCAGGCGCCTCATTTTCATGTCAGCTTGAACGCATGGCACAGCGCTGCCTTCACACACGTGCTGGATCGGGAACATCCACAGCTAAGGGACAGAGTCACAGACACTATATACGAGACAGTTTGATAGAGTATAAATGAAAATGCTTGTGACTCTTAAATTCACTTCCCAATCAAACTTATTTTCCTTTTGTTACCTGTATGATATGTGGAAGTATCTTTTCCAGCAGCCTTTTCAAAATATTTTGCGTAATACAATTATTTTCTCTTCCCTGCTAATGCTTACCTTTGTGAACATGGCCTAAGAGTTCCCAGAAACCTGCATCTTTGAAGAGACTTTAAGGGTGGCCGGAGCACGAGAGAGAAGCAGCTGCACCCCAGCTCCCCACGGGGACAGAGCTTTTTCCTCTTTCCTTCAGCAAACCACATACCTTCACTGCTGTGATTTTACTCCTCATTACCTCTGGGGGAACTGCAGCAGTGAATGAAAAATGCGGGCAGACATACGTAATGATGTGTTAATATTTGTCAGATCATTAGATTTTAGGATTCCACGTGAGTCCACGGGGCCCTGTGTGATGTTCACATGGCATCAAAGAAGTGACAGGAGCACCTAAAGGTCACACGCTACCGGATCGGAGAGAAGAAACCATATCAAGAAAGGAGGAAAGGCACAGGAAGGGATGGGCTGTAACAGAGACAGGCTCAACTCATACAGTTTACTGGGTCAGTCTGTACCACAAATGTGCAATACCTTTGCCAAATCCTACTCAGCCCTAACCAGGAGACCCATGTGCATATTCCCTCCAGAGCATGAGAACTGTCAACTGAGGCAAAAGAAATGGTCTGGAAAGTACCTCTGCATGCTTAGACACTGGCAGGTGATGAACCTGGCAGTCAGGATCATTTTGCTGGGCCATTCTAGGCAAAAGAAAGGGGAGGAAGGGATGGGAATGGATGGAGCAAGTGATGTCCTGAACACGAATATGTTAAGGCATCTCTAGTCTCTCTGAACCGCGCAGGTGACACCTGGATTGCAGGGTGAAACCTGGACAATTACCGAGTCCAGCTGAAGTCTGCTGAGCCCAAGAGGACCTGTGAGAGGGACTGTGCAGCCCCAGCTTTCTTCTCCTCTTTCCTTCAGCAGACCACATACCTTCACTGCTGTGATTTTATTCCTCTTCTGTTCAGCTCTAAATAACAGACTTTTTCCCTGCCTCTTCTCTTCTTAACATGACAAGGAATACTGACCAAGGCGCACAGCTGAGCACAAGAAAAGGTGTGCTCATCCCTCTGCTATGTGACACGCACAACAGCCAAGCGTGTGCAAGCTCTGTTTATCTTTCCTTGGTTTTGAACAAATCTGGTTTTGGTTCCTCATCTCAGCGAACATGTCACTTCACTTCCCTCTTTTCATATTAATATCCCTTAACTATGACATTAGCTTGTGTTGTCTGTTGTCTCTTCTCTCTCTTTCAGGCTCTGATGCTGTCCTATTTTGCATGAGTGTCTTTCTGTTCATCAGTAGAGAGCACATTCTTTCTTCTATATCACATCCTATTTAAAACATTATCTTTTATTTTTCCCTTTGTATTTTTCTACAGTGGTTTAAGTATAAATTTTTTTTCATGGTTAATATATATTGCTATATCTCTACAGTAGAGACTGAACTATCCAAAAGGATGAACTGTGGTAGCTCAACAGATCTCTCAATGAAGCCAACAGCAAATTTTCATTTCATTGGTGGAATTCACCACTCCATAACAGGCTGAAAGGAAAAGAATTCTAATAAAAGGAAAGAACGAATTAAATCCGTTTCAGATTGGCACCTAATGCAGGCACTGCAGCATACTAGAATTATAGGTGCTTCATCCTAAAATGTTCCAGCCCACCTAAAATTCTCACTTAAATTCTCAGGAAATGGATGCAGAGAAAAATCCAGTCCACCTACTCTACGTGCCTCCCTCTATCCATTTCCTGGGAGAGGTTCTGTAGTAAGTGTCTGAGCTAGCTCAAGTTGAATGAAATGATAAAGAAACAGCAAGAGATGTTTTTAATTCCACCCTCAGATTAATTTTACTGTTATCCTATGACACACATATAACTCCTACAGAAAGTTGTCATCTCATCTTGGACTGCCTCTTGCAAGGTGTCCTCCAGGACCTGCGACTGCCATTTCTGCATGTCCCAGCTTGCAGGAGGAAGAACATCATTGCCATTATTCAGGACACTTAGCAGTCTGACAGGACACTTGTCTGAAGGGCTTAGTCTTTCTCTTAGAAACTGCAGCCTGGCTCTCCTGTTTCCATGTCATTACTTTTTGAACTAGTATGCAAAGAATGAGCACCTTATTCTTCTGTTTGTTTGTTTTTAAAAAGAGAAATGTTGCTGCAAAGAGGTATTTACAGACTCTACCTACATGGTTATTTCCAGACAGACTACAGCTCAAACAAAAGGTTAATCTGGTATAATAACTTGATTTGGGGAAATCACATAAATGCATGTCTCAAAGCAACCTGGAAGAAAGAATAATTTGATTTTTTAGTTACCCTATTATGAAGGAAACTCTTCTCTCTACGCAGACCCTTTGTCTCCATCACTACTACTTTCCTCATACTACAAAGATCATCATCAGAATGTAAGTGATTTTCATATTTCTTTCTTACCTGTGTGATAAAATTTCCCTGAAAATCCCAGGTTGAAAGTAAAATTGGTAATCTGAGCTCTCAAAAGATTCTGAGTGTCAAGCAGGGCCTGAGAAAAAAAAAACAAACAAACAACAAAACACCACATAAACATATCTGTAGAAAATGACACCTGGCAGAGAAATTTAATATAACAATATAAATATCTTTACAGGCATATATCTTTTCAATGGGTTTTGCTATTTAAAAACTGCTGGGTTTAGATATTTTCATTATCAATAAAGATTAAAAAAAGCATGCAAACTCCATCGTTTTCCTCATAAAGATGACTAGCTACCAGAGATAGCTCTGATAGCTCCCTGTTTAGGAGATAGGGAGGATAGTTTGCTCCCTGTATTATGAGATAGGAAAACAAAGGTACAAGCCAGAAAAAAGACCTTCCACTGAGTGCTCAGTAAACCTGAGACACAGCCAGGAATGAAATTCAGATCTCTTATGCCTCCAACCACTGCTTCATTCCCTGGGGTGAAGAGCATCGATTAGAATCATGCTTCTCTACATCAGGTCAAGTACATACACAGCATTTTAGTCACGTTTCAAAATTACTGGCAATTAAAAAAAAAAATCCAGAAAGACGCTAGATGAAGCCTACTCCACATCAAAGAACTTAATTCTAAATTCCCTGAAATTCTGACTCATTTCTCAGACAGTTAGCATACTGGCTGTCAGCATACGTGTACTTGCACTAAATTAGTACAAACAAAAAACAGCATGCAGGAAGAAAGGGGAAAGCTGTTATTCATCAGATACAGCTTCACTCTTGGATTTCAATATGCTCTTCTGGATTTGTCACTCCTGAGATTTACATACTACTTTCAGGAGTTACCTCCCAAACTCTTAACACTCTGCTGCTGTTCGCTCTTTCAGTTTTCCAGGTGTAACCAAGAAACCCAGCTTTCCAATGCAAAAATCGAACAAAAAGCCTCCTCTAAAATGAGACTTGGAGTGCACATTCCTTCAAAGAGCCTGCCTTCAACTGAGCACTTGCTAGTCGGTCATTTATGAACACATGAGACTTTTTGGAGATTTGTGACACTGTACACAGCCCGTCGGAACTGTACAGCCAGCTACAGCACACACACACACACTTGGAGACAGGCACTCCTGCAGTACCTTTGAAAGGAAGGAAAATATACATACATCAAAGGTCACCAAAGACTTTTCAAAGTAAATATACATTATAGCACAACGATTCTAATAAGTGATTAAAGTAATCCTCTTGTCAGAAATTAAGACTCTAATAACTCTAAGCATGTTATGAAAGGGGAATGTAATTAAAAGCACAAAAAGATTAAAATCACTGTAGATTTTCAAAAGTTTAGATAGAGGTCTAGTAGGCTCCCCACTCTTAAAATTCAATGACAGTTTGGTGCTCTGAAAAATATGAGCCAGTAATTTTATTCACAGTTTCTTTGGACATTTTCATTATATCCTTAATTTGTCTACAATTACTTTTTTAACGGGAATGCCAGCGACAACAAAACATTAGCATGGAAGTCAAGTCCAGCTTTGGCTACAGGCATAGAATAGTCAAGCTACAGCTCCTTAAAATATGACCCATTTTACAGATGGAGGCAATATCCACTTTACCAGAGAAACTCTTGGGCATATGAGCTCTTCTTTGGATCTTTTCCAGGGCTCATCTATATCAGTTCCAATAAAAGTACGATCTCCATCTGCAAACACTGGCTCTCCAGTTTCCTCACACTATCACACCTACAACATTACAGTGACAAAACCAGGCAAAGGGTGCCAACAGCAGGGGCTCCCCTGTGCACCAGCCTCAAGAGAGGCCCAAGGCAGCATGCCCACTGGTGCCTCCCATTCCCAGTAAGAGGTGGCTGTACATGGCAGCTGGTGCACCTCTGCCTGCTCTGTGCTTGCCTTTCCCAATGCTCCCTTTCCAAACGCTCCCTTTCCAAAACTGAGTGTTTCTGCCTGGTCCCACTGAGAGAGCACAGCACTGCCCAAAGTGGGAACGCAGCCGCTCTCCAGCCCTCTGGATCCTCTGTCTGAGGCCTTGGTGAGCTCACTTAGCTTGTAGCTCCAGCTGCCACAGGGAAGCTGCTGCTTGAGGGAGCTGATCTGCAGCGACAGGACAGCCATTTTTCCCCATCCCAGGAGGTTGCAAACTTGAGTTCTGCTGTCATGGCTGACGAAACATGAGTGGTTTCAATTCTGAGTCATCAGTAGTATTTGCCTAGTTCACCGTTTCAGCAGATTAGAACATTATGCCTAAGCATATTCATTAAATAGATATTAATCACAAAATTAAATCTGTGAAAGAACCATCACTTCTTAAGGTCCTCTCAGATCAGGAAGGAACTCGCCTCTCCCACTGTCTTCAGCAGTGTAGCTGAACGGTACAGGCAGTTTCAAAGAACAGTACTAGCAACGTAAAGATCATCTTCTTTCACGGGAAAGCCTGAAAAATGTCCTGTGAACAAGAGACTTTCTAAAGGAATAAGTAAAATGAAGCACAGAATGGAGATAATTGAAAACAAGCTCAAGACTTCTGAAGCAGAATATTAAGAGAAAAATCTTGCAACACTGTAACGAGGGCTTTTGAGCAGGCTGAGAGTGCAAAGATCACCGAGAAGACTTTTTATTCTAATGAAAGGTAGCAAATCTGCAGAGGATTTATTATGAAAACCATCCTTGAGCTGCTGGGAACCTATTCAATGAAATAATTTTATCTTTGCACAGTTAAAAATGTAGGAGGCAAATGACATGGCTACACACTTCTTATGTTAACAGTACATATTGTCAAATGAAAGAGACCCTGAGAGCCGCTCGGCAGCAAGGCAGCAGCAATGGGCTGCACAGTTCTTTCCCTCCAAATTAAGGGAAGAACTGTGAGCACTTTTTGAGCTGAAGGTCTTATCCTGTACCTTTCTAGCGCCTTCTCGGCTTGTCAGCTCCAGTCTAGTCTCAGCATGAGGGAAAAACAGAATGGGAAAAACGAAGAGCAGCTGGAAATGTCAGAGAAACATGACCTGGAAGTTCTTTGCTGCACCTCCCTGGCACGTGGCAGCTACAGGGCTGAAAGGCGAGTTGCAGACCCAGGATCTCAAACGGGAGGAGGAAGAAGGGTACCAAAAAGCCCACGATGTTTCTATGGTAACGCAACATGGAGTTTATTTCTTCACTAGGTATTAATTTTCCTCATGTAGTTACCACCTTCTCGCCTCAATGACCACCTGGTGGCTGCAGTCCCGTTAAGACACACCAAACCACAAAAGTCTAAAGGAAATCTGAAGTTCACTTTCTACAGAACGAACTCTGAAAGCGATGCTGTTGGTTTTTTGGCCACATTACTCTCGTTAAAATCAACAGGAGATCTGCTAAAGTCTTGGGGTGGTGTTCAAAAACATATCAATACCAATGGTGCACCTGCTCACCTGCTCTGTCTGCAAAGTGGGAGGGCACAGACCTGCTGTGAACCACTTCTTGTACAGACAAGCCGAGATAACATTTGAGTTGTCATGCCTATGATTATTTTCTGGGTGACTTGACATTTTACTCATCTTTCAGGTTCTAAAAACAAAATGTTAAAACTCATGAAAAATATATAGCAGCAGATGGCAAGGCCTATTACTGTGAGTTGCTATCAGAAAGACAGAAAGAGAGAGAAGTAGGGGGAAGAAAAGCCTGAAATTTCATTTCTAAATGCTATTTTATATGCTGAAGGTAAGCTGGTGATATTTTCTGTACATTTTATGACTGGTTTATGAACAGCCCGTCTAGGTACCTGTATGAGATGTTACATAAATACACTAGTACTGTAGATTATATTTTAAAAAATGTTTAGTAAAGCCTTCATATGTTTATAAATAATTATTCAGTACATATGTTATACTTCCACTGGCACTACAAGGAAAATAAATTGCTGGCTGCATACTCACTTTCATGTACACAGCTACAATGGAGGACTTGCATTTCAACTTTTCCTACACTCACATACTAGGTTTAGGAAATTCTTTATGCCAGAAATCAAACGTGAAAATTCAATATATGATGAAAGACGTCCTTCACCAACAGCCCAGAATAATCTCAGCAAAAGGCCCTGTTTAAAACCAAGGAATAGGCAGCAGTTATCCCAACAGCAAAACAACAGAGTTCTTTCAGTCCTTGCATCTGACAAGTTTACAGTATACTGAAAGGAAGATAAGAAATCATGTATGTTGTAAATAAAGCTAGATTCTCAGATGATTTATCAGCATCATCCCATTTAAGTTGCTTCTATTTCATTTCTGAAGAAACATCTCAGCAAACGTAAGCTGCTGTAAATGCCAACGGGATCTCACTGACTGAGGAATTTAGGAGAAAATGGACTCTAAGAACACAAATGGAACAGAAGGAACCAAGAGAGTCATTCTTTAACTGAAATATTCATGCAATGAAAATGTATGAAAATTCCTGCCTTTGTATAGATGGCCTCCTTTCTTGATAATCATAACGTTTAGCTCTTTTTATCACTTGTCATTCAGAAATACCAACTTTGTTTATAAAGGAAATAGTTTTATTTGATTTTTCTCATCTTACAGACAGGACAAACAGAGGCACGGACAAATGACACAGGCTGTCAAAAGCTCTTGCTCAAGTAAATCAACAGTAAAGCCAAGGATAAAACTTGTATTGCCACACTTGCTTTCCATTTCCATAGCCAGGAAACCATCCTGCCTCCTGTCCTCAAATATCTCTTTACATGATTTCACTTTATAGTCTGTCAGAGAAGTCTCACAAGTGTCAACTTGTCTTTGGTAAACAGACCGTAGTAATTTCTCCAGCATCAACAAAAATATTCAGACCTAAACATCCTGGCTGTTCAAACAAACAAATCAAGAATGCTTTGTTGAACTCTGCTTCACCAAAAAGGACCTATAACTTGTTTCTGTAGTCATACCAGCATATTTACAACTATTTTCTTACTCAAAATGAAAGAACTTAGCCACCGGAAAAGTGAAATAATTTGGAACGCTGTTAATTTTACTCGTAATTGCACGGATTTCAACTAAATTGGCAAGCAGATAGACACAGCTTCACAAT